TAAGGAAACATTTAGATGCAATATTCCCAAGAAAGTGGATTGGAAACAATGGACCAATTAACTGGCCAGCCCGATCGCCAGATCTTATTCCTTTAGATTCTTTTTTCTGGGGATACATAAAGGATAAAGTTTTTTCAACACCAAATACAGATATCGATAATCTCAAACAAAAAATAAGAGATGCCTGTATTAGTATTACACCTTTTATGCTAGAAAGTTGCCACAGAAATTGTCTGGACCGACAACTTATGTGCATTCAACAAAGAGGTCGTCAATTCGAGCATTTAAAGTAGATTGCCATGTAGCTTTGATTTTCCGTATTGGTTTCATTTTTCCCAAAAGTTCATGATAAAACAAATTGTTTTTCTGTTTGATTGTGGTCAATGATGATGGTTGTTATTTCAAATGAAACGCTTCAAAAATATCAAATGTGATATACCCTTGGATTGTAAATTTATCGCTTTATCAATATATGTAATAAAAAAGACAGGTCCGTATTTTAAAAAAAAGTTGATGGTGGCCTTCGAATAACAATTCCATTCGAAAAAAACGAAAAACAATATTTTTGGTTTTCCCCGTATAACTAGGATAATCTAGGGAGGCACTGATGATCGCCGAGGACCTCAGAGGGGTTATAAATGAGTTGGCGCAATCGGGACAGTTTTTCCAGATTAAGGTTGATATTGTGAACAACGAGTTGGCGCAGGTGTTCTCCAACTCCAATAAAGGGTAAAGAAATTTCAGAGACTACCTGAAACTTCTGAGGAGGGCTGTATCAGTGGCCAGAAAAAATCCTCTCGTCGAGCACCCCCAGGTTCTCAATGCGAATCAGGAAATTTTGAGTTTGAGATTCAGTCCACTATACAGAAATCACTCCCAAAAGAAGAACTGCTCGAAGCGATATGTTTGGAATTTGTCAACAGAACAAACGAAGTACGTGTATAGATGTCAATATCACCGTTCAACAAGCCCACAAAAGTAATTTTATTCAATCCATCTGCGGTCTCGGTCCGCATGTAAAGGCCAAGCTTTATTGGGAGTTTTGAAATAGACCAATCAGTGACTAGGTAAAGATAGACACGTGCAGTTTGGTAGAGAATACAGAGGCTTACTTAACCTGTTCATGCCCAGAATAATTTTTTGTTGGAAACCTTTCAATATTTCAGAAAAATGTTGAAAAAAATATAGACTTATGATTTTCAACTTTTGATGTCTCAGTTCTGAATCAAACATTAAGAGTTTCTATTCTACACAAACATCTGTTATGACTAATATCACAAACACAAAATTATTATGAAGTTTTTTCTTTTGAATTCATACACTTATCACAAATATGAAGCTTGGCAAACCATACCCTAGCTTAAAACTTATATGTATATCACCAAGATATGCAAATCCCAACTAAATACAAGAAGCATTTACCCACATTACGTTGAATAAATGAATAATACTTCAAAAAACTGAACAAACATGGTGATTAAAAATACACCTATTTATTTGTATAGTCTTATTTATGCAATATTTTAAGATTATTGAAATGGTACTAATTCTTGTTATCAGTAAACTTATACACTCAATTTAACTTGACAAAAATTAAAAATAACACTGGTAGAAGATTACTGAAACGAGGAACTGTGAACTTCAACAAATAGATATCTGTTAACTTTCCAAACAATATCAATGTCAAAATTCCGTTGAAATTTAAAAACACAAGTTATTTCAAAGCAATTACATAGTATATTTATGGAGATGCTAAAACCCATGCCTTGTACCCAACACGAATAGGCTTTCCCCTTATGAATTTCTTGCATCCATTTCTACCAGAATAAGGGATCATTGACTCGACAATTGAAACAGCTGTTTGGATGGGGTAAACATATTTTATTCAATTTATCCATGGGTCGGAGCTTTGCTACTTTATTGCCTTGGGCCAGATTATTGTTATCGCGACGCGAATGAATCTGAATATTTATTTAAAGCTATTTCGCCTCATTGAAGTCGCTGCAAGAATATTATGTGCATCTTCACATGTTTCCCAGAACATTCTCAGCCGAGGAACTGGTACATAACCACAGAGGAACAATATTGCAAGAAATGCATAGATTTCGTCAGTGCCAGGTGATTTTTCTGAGGAGCATATAAAACTCTTTGTTTTACAATGTGCTCCATGACCTTTGTATTCATAAATAACTCAAAATATTCTACAGGCGTACTGTTTTCGGAAAAAGAAATTGGAGGCAGACATGATAGGTTATCAGATATACTTGTAGTTCCTTTCTCAAGATCTGTATTGGCGGTCCAAAGCCTTTTCTGATTGAATTTTTTCTTTTTCTTTGTTTGTGTTATTGCTGCCAAATCAACACCTTCTACCTCTTGTTCATCAAATTCTATATCTTCTGTTTCGTGGACATTGGTTATATTTGTTTCTGCTTCCGCGTCTAACTGATGACTATTCAATCTAGCAGGATCGTTACAATCCTCATCACCGGAATCAGCATCTGTATCAAATCCGTTATCTTCAGGAGGTGTAATGAGGAGGTGTAATCACTAGGCATCTCGGAATCATCTAGCTTCTCTATTTCTTCCAACAGTTCAGCTGTAGTGAGCTGTTTTTTCCTCAAATAACATATAAAACATACTTAAATTTGCCCAAGGGGTCGATAAGGACCCATGTAAATAATGTTTCAATTTTCAGGTTATGAATAACGTAAATCTTCATTCATATCACTTACTCTGCTTACTCACCAATATAATTTGTGACTCATGTTTTCAAAATTGCAATGAACTGATTTCACCTCTATATCATTTCTTACTGGCTCACCGCAAAACAAAATCGAACAATTCAGATGAAAGTTGGAATAATGAATGAATAAAAACCTAAATTTTTCCTTTCAACTTGTAGCGACAAGTGCGACAGAAATTAAAAAGTGCGTTGGGTCATTAACGACCCTCTGGGCATAAATAGGTTAAATTAATGAATGGGTCTCGCGTTCATCTAAAAAATACGACCCCATTTTGGTTGACATATTAGTCGTACAGTGAATTATTTTTTTCATGTGTTGAAGAGTTTAGCAGAGTTATGCTTGACCCCAGAATATAAAGCCATATGAGATATTTGATTGTACCAGTCCAAAATATAGTAGTTTCAGGACTGTGTTATGGAGGTTTTTTATAAAAAAACAATACAAACTCAGTTTGTATGATATAGATACTGCCTATGTGGTTATTCCACATTAACTTTTGTGAATAGAGTTCTGTGAATAGAGGAGAAAAATCATAGGTACCAGGAGAGGACCATGAGCTGATAATTCATTTTCAATTTCAACTGTTCGATTCAATACAATCCAAAAGTATTCCTCTTAAAGCAATACAATACAAGATTCCAAGTAAATACTATATTCAGGTGTCAAACCATTTGGTTTGGAGTGATTTCTTGATTATTTTGTGAATTAAAATGTAAAATGACCTGCACCTTATGTTCTAGACCTACCTTACAGTATCTCTTAGATATTTTGAATGAGATTTAATAATAAACTTACCGTATGAGGTTCTGCTTCAGTAGAAGGTGAATTTCTCCAGTGTTCCTTGAACCATTTGAACAGAGAATCGACAGAGTTGAATGTATCATACCTGTATTTGAATTCCTCAGGAGTTACCGTTATATATTCGTGAAATATGTTGTTCCCCGGGAGGTAAGAGAGCAAACAAATTCCAGGATAATCTTTAGAAGTGCTGATAATATATTGCCATTTGTAGGGATGTATTTCCTTCTCCTTCTTTAAGTACTCCCCAGCTTTATCCTTGCACCCACCAAAATCTGTGACTCACAGCCAGCATAATCAGGGAAATTACTGGGACAGGATGCTGTTCCAGCCTCCGGAGTCTCCGAGGAGTTCTGTCAGTAATAATAGAGTTCTTCATCCTGATAATGCAAGATTTGGGTCAGGAGGAAGCGAGTCGATGAACTGGCAGAAGGCGACTGAAGTTTGGGCTGCAAATCCCAGATGTAAGTAATATAATAATAGGAGTATTAATGTAGTAGTGTAGTGCTAAACTAAGCTCATTGAAGATGTTTCTTCGATTTTCTTCAAACTGTGGCCATAATTTCATTTCGATGTGTGTGTTTCAAAAGATACAGCTGTTCGTTATCAAGAACATTTTTGGGATTAACACACAACAAGGTACTTTTTCATGTCTCTGATTTGACTCAAATGCCAGTAAACCCCGTTTTTTAGCATTTCGACATATTCACATTACTTTCAAAGGTAACTAGAGGTGTTTTAAAATTATTATTTCAGATATCTTTGAATCCTTTGTTGCCTTGCAATCAATCAATCTCCCCAAGCAACATAAATATTATTAATAGGGGCCTTAACTTTATATAACTCAATATTCTTCAACTCAAAGAAATGAGTTGGTTATCAGTTTATGAGGGCTGTTCAAAAAATAAGGTGAATTTTCATTTTTCCCAAGAAATATTTATTTATTGATCAAATTCTATTTTTGTCCCCTCCGAAATAGTCTCTCTCATGTATAATACACTTGTGCTAGCGATTTTTCCAATCCTGATTTGCACTTTTTGTATGTCCTTGAGCTTTTGGCTTTTATCTCCTCAATCGTCGCAAAACGCCTTCCTTTCATGGGTCTCTTCAATCGTGGGAACAGGAAAAAGTCGCAGGGGGGCAAATCTGGTGAATATGGTTGATGTTTGTTTTTCCAAAATACCGTACGTTTTCTTCGTATTGTTTCTCGTAAATGGCGCATAACTTCAAGATAATACTTCTTATTGACTGTACCACCATGTGGCAAGAACTCCTAAAGCACTACGCCACGGAAGAAAACAGCGAGCAAAACTTCGACATTTCATCGAACTTGGCGTGCCTTTTTTTGTCTCTCTGGACTCTTTCATTGGGACAACTGGACTTTGGTTTTGATGTCAAAACCATATACCCATGATTCGCCACCAATTATGATCCTTATAAGCAACATCTTCGATATATTCTCTAGTATATGTCGTCTTATATGTGCATCTATAAAGGCAAAGTAAGCAAATCTTGCAATTGTTCTAGCTAGTTCTCTTGAAACTGACTTGATAACAAAACAGCCAGATGCGGGTTTTTTATTTAGCTTAATGTATATTCTTCAACTCAAAGAAATGAGTTGGTTATCAGTTTATGAGGGCTGTTCAAAAAATAAGGTGAATTTTTATTTTTCCCAAGAAATATTTATTTATTGATCAAATTCTATTTTTGTCCCCTCCGAAATAGTCTCTCTCATGTATGTATCATCTCCTCAATCGTCGCAAAACGCCTTCCTTTCATGGGTCTCTTCAATCGTGGAAACAGGAAAAAGTTGCAGGGGGGCAAATCTGGTGAATATGGTTGATGTTTGTTTTTCCAAAATACTGTACGTTTTCTTCGTATTGTTTCTCGTAAATAGCGCATAACTTCAAGATAATACTTCTTATTGACTGTACCACCATGTGGCAAGAACTCCTAAAGCACTACGCCACGAAAGAAAACAGCGAGCAAAACTTCGACATTTCATCGAACTTGGCGTGCCTTTTTTTGTCTCTCTGGACTCTATCATTGGGACAATTGGACTTTGGTTTTGATGTCAAAACCATATACCCATGATTCGTCACCAGTTATGATCCTTATAAGCAACATCTTCGGTATATTCTCTAGTATATAGTGGTTCGAGGCAATGTCATCTTATATGGGCATCTACAAAGGCAAAGTAAGCAAATCTTGCAAATGTTCTAGCTATTTCTCTTGAAACTGACTTGATAACAAAACAGCCAGATGCGGGTTTTTTATTTAGCTTAATGTTATGATCGTCGAATTTAAATTCATTATCTATGTGAAGTCCTAAACATTTAGAGCACGATTTTACCGTGAGAATGTTGTTTTCCAAACTAAGCTGTGGGAGTTCACATTTGAAGGTGAGGAGATGGGTTTTATTGAAGTTTAATGAAAGCTTGTTTGAGTCGCATCAGCTCTTTATCTTTTCCATATCTTCAGTAGTATCTTGAGCAAGTTTCGTAGGATCTTTTTCCTGCCACTGCAACGTGGGGTCATCCGCAAATAATGTAATGCTGACAGGTAAATCCAGTTGTGTTACATCATTAGGGACACCTGCTTTGATTTCTCCCACACTGGAGTCTGTCGAAAGTCCCACAATTTGCATTTGATGCAATAAGTATGATTCGAACCATCTGATGTATATGTTTTTCACATATAGTCAGTGGGCATACTTTAAGACTGGCTATGAATCAAATCAGCTAAATGAACAATTCGTTCAGGCCATCTCAACTTCTTTCACTGTAGTTGAATGGACTGACACCTATTAGACAACTACTTCCCTGGCTAATACCACGAAGGGCGTTGGATTATATCCGACAGGCGTCAGTGCAGGAATCTTCACAGAAAATTTCCTGCATATGCAATTGTCAATACAACTGAAAGAGTCGAACTTCAATTTTGGAACGGGCATATGCAGGAGTTTTTCTGTGAAGAGTCCTGCACTGACGCCTGTCGGATATAATCCAACATCCTTCGTGGTATTAGCCAGGAGAGTAGTTGTTTTCTGATAGGCGTCACTCCATTCAACCTACTATGTAGGTATATTCGAGACTGGCTTGAGTTTAAAGTTCATTTCTTTAGATTTCCTATTCAATTACATGCGAGCGCTTTCGATTGCTGGTCGTGCTGTCATCATCAAGGCTCTACTCAATCTGAACGTGTCAACCTCTTGTTTGTCCTTTTATGCGGTCCGAACGCCTTAGTGCAGGTACTTCAGGTACNATATAGAATAGAATCCTTAATATAGAATTCATTTTCATATGAAATTATATAGAATAGAATCCTTAATATAGAATTCATTTTCATATGAAATTATATAGAATAGAATCCTTAATATAGAATTCATTTTTATATGAATAAATGAAAAATCATTACCTCCAAGTTATATTCTGATCAGCCTTGATGTGATTTCACTGTAGGTGAATGGACTGACACCTATTAGACAACTACTTCCCTGGCTAATATCACGAAGGGCGTTGGATTATATCCGACAATCCCGTTAATCTATTTTGCTGTACATTTCTCTAGTCCAAAACAGTTGACTACTCAATCGACAATTATCATAAATACATGAATTGTAAATTTGTATTTTTTTTTCCAGCCACACTGAGAAGGGAGGGTCGAAATAGCCCAATATCTATGGATCAGAGGACTCCTCGTACAAACGTCCCTCAACCCATGTCATTGGGTGATGCCACTCCGCTGAGTGATGGAAGCATATGAAAATTTTATGTTAGTTTATGACAAACAAATTATGTGAAATATTTTAAATGGATTATTTTCAATAATATTTGTTTTTATATTTTTACCATGTATCTAAATGTCGAAATATTTTTATATATTACTTTAAAATTGTTAAAATTTGTGTTAGTTTATGAAATATATGAAATGGATTATTTTGAATATTTGTTTTTATATGAGCACTGTTTGGTAATACTTTAAATTCCAATTAGTACAAAGGTGATCAGTATAGGAAGCAGCAGAAGCAATACGAGTTAGGTAAAAATATATAGTTCAACATATCGATTTATGAGCTCAAATCAACAATATTTTTATCCTAGCGAAAGTATTTAGCACAACTGGTTTTACATTTCTCAATTTTGTAAACACTTCTTCCAAAGCAGCATGCTTTCCAGAATGATGAAAATATAGTAGAATTTTCGGTAATTCTAAACCGTGCTACAAAACTCTCAGATCTCCGGATATTTTTTATGGCATGAGAATTTTTGTTAGTACAGGTCCAAAAAAAGGTCTTAATTAATTTCCAGTTCATATATTGTCTTCAAATAACACACTTCAATATGATATTTCCACTTGAAAGTTTACAAAAACGTGACATGGGCGTCACAATACTGTCTTGTGACGCCTGAAGAAGCTTTTGTATAGTGAAATAAGTGTCGCGGTTTTGTAAACTTTCAAGAGGGAATCTCACACTTAAGTGAGTTTTCTGAATACGTTATAATGGATTTTCATCAAGTATCGGTCTGTTCTATCACACAGATCATGTATAGTCAAAAATTTATTCCATTTTTATTAAAATATTTTTGTTAACTTCCTTATACAGTGTCATCCCCAAAGTCGATGGGTCGATAATTACCAACTTGTGTTCTATCGCCCTTTTTGAATACAGGGATTAATTTAGAAAATTTGAAAATATCAGGGAATTTTCCTGTTACAAACATCAAATTGATTAGATCAGTCAAAGGCTCAAGAATTATGTCACTCACTGCTTTAATAATTCGGCTGTTTAAATCATGAACATCAGGGCAGGTGGAGTTTTTTAATAAAGTAATGGCCTCTTTAACATCAGCCGATTTAACGGGTTTCATGAAAATTATGAAGGAGGTGTTGGAAAATTTTTGAAATTTAATAACGTCTGTCGCAAAAGGTATTCATACTTTATGGCAGCACATCAAAAGATATAATATTGATATATGTGTATTAGTAACATCTGTATCCATACTTTTATTTTATTTATTTTATTAAATTTATTTTATGCTATATNATTCTAGGTGGTCGACAGTCACATATTATTATTTGTGACAACAATTACAAATTGATGCAAATCATCATTGTATCTGATGTTACCTTTTATGCTTCATTATATCATTACAAATATTTGGTGATGAAACCAAAATTTTGTGTTGGCTGCCTGTGAACCATTCATTTTGTGAAGTACCACCGTTACATGCCTACTTTTCATATTTTTCTACTTTTCAATAATTGAATTGACATGTAAACAAAAATGTAACGGAACAACTAACAAAGAGAAGTTTGTTGTAGCAACACTACTCAAAATATGTACCTGTATATCCATTTACTATGAATGATAACCATACCATATTTAAACCATACTACATACTTTCCTTACCTGAAGTTGTTTATAACCCAATATACTTATAGAAATGAAGGCCCGCGTGAACAAGTTGTATTGGCTTTATTATCTCAAGAAACATTAAATTTTAATGAATAGGGATTAACTAAATCTACTAAAGATACAAATTTAATATAATTATGATATATTGAACAAGAAAACAGGAGTAGGTAATCAAATTGAGCAGTGAACATTAAATCTGTTACTACATAGTAAAAATCAAAGTCGCTTCCCGGCTACATTACGTTAAAGAACAATTAGATCGAAAGATCAGACCGAATTAGATAAGCGGGAAATAATTTTTTAATAGTTATTTACACACCCCCACCTCTGCCGTTTTTGATGTTCCCAAAACGTATGATTTTGTCATTGACGCTTACAGAAGTTTCAGTAACTCCAAACAATTGAGATTTCACTCACACAGCCACATACACTTCAGTGGAGTAAACAAAATTTGTAATCAACAGGTCGGTCACATTTGTTTAAAACAAATAGTGACTTAACGTTTAGATATGGGGATATTGTAGAATTCGTTGTTGGTCTGATACTACAAAAAATCTAAAAAAAATTACCTCTCACAAGATTGGCCCATATCAAAAAAGATGAGAATAGTTTTAATAAGCTTTATACAATCACTTTTTGTGACATTCATACCATGTTCTTTTTCATTCCTCATATTTAACTAATTTATGATGTTACCAAAGAGTCTTTTTGGAAAAACCATACCCACAGAATATTATATTCAATGATTTATTATCACTTCGTTCTTACAGTTAGATACATTATGTATAATAATTTTAAGAAATGCTTGAGGTAACATAAAAAAACTACTACGCCAACACTTCAAATACCAATACTTTTGGAGTTAGCGATGCTCCTCCCCAACAGTAAATACGTAGCGAACGTATCGTCATATTTCTGAGAATTCAGAGAACTTTCGACATCGATTTCATTAAAACCCAAACAAACTAGAGATGCTATTCTCTTCGGATCGGTCAGATCCTGTTCGGGCTCAATCCACGGCTTAATATCGTCGCTCTCATAGCCCTGGTTCATCCATTTATCTTTTGCGACGGTGTCTAAGCCTGCCCTCCTGGTAGGATCTAGAACCAAAAGTTTCTTTAGGAGATTCACGCAGTCTGATGTCAAAAAAAAAGGTACCTCGTACTCGCCACGAACCATTTGCTCCCTAAGTACTGGTAATATTGAACTGTCAAAGGGAAGAGCGTTCGATACAATCCTGTATAATACAACGCCCAATGACCACACATCTGCCTTTGGTCCATATTTTCTGCACAGAAGTACCTCAGGAGCTGCATATCGTAGAGTTCCACGAAATGCCTTCAATTTGGTTTTTGAGGTGAACACATGTGACATTCCGAAATCTGCAATTTTAATGTTCATTTCACTATCCAGCAATATGTTTCCATCCTTTATNTATTAAAAGAAAAATTGTTTATCTCATAAACTAACCACTTTAACCTACAAGTATTATACATTTTTGAAATCAGCTCAAAGAGGAGTATCCAAATTTTACATAAAAAATATGAGGAGTAATTAAAAAAAAAGGGATGATGCTAGGGGTAAGGGGGTGGCTTTTCCAGTAAGTTTAATTAAGCCATAATGCTTGCCCCTTCCAACATAAATTGACGTGTTTTTGGGTTTTTCCTAAATATCAGTATTACAAAAGTTATTAAAGGTGGATACTTTTATCTGAAAAGCACTGTATAATAAAACAGCAATTTAATGCTAATTTTATCTGAAGATGAATTTTTGAAATTCACTATTTGAACGCGATCTGATAGATATGACTCAAACCACAACAAGATGTTTCCTCTAAATCTGTAAATTTCCAGTTTCTGCAGCAGAATTTTGTGATTAACACAGTCAAACGCTTTTGTCGGATCACTGCAGCCTCACCAACGTTCAGTGGTAGATAAAATTCCTCTAAAAAAGCAAACATTGCATCATTTGTGCTCTTAGAGGCTTGAAAGCCATATTGATTGGAGTGAAGAATATGATTTTTGTCAAGAAAACTTAGAATTCTCTTTTCCATTAACTTTTTCACGATTTTAGATTTAGTTGACAGTAAAGAAATAGGTCTGAAGTTCGCGGGTATATTAGAATCGCCTCCTTTAAATCACTAGAGGACTCCAAATCTACTTCATCAAGATATGGAGAATAACTTAAATGGCTAATCTTCCTACCCCCCTAATCAGAGTGATCATGCCGACAAGGATCACTGCGCACGTACGGCGTTGTTACTTCAGGAGGACTCACGATAGTGAGGCACAATACGCCGATGACAATATTATCATATATTTCTTAACCCCCAAACACCCGAATTCTACAAACTGAAACCCTACTAAAACAAAATCATCCTCTTCAGACACCCATCACAACGTTGTTTTATTGCGCACATTCTTTAATGTGCGCAATAAAACACATCATAGTAATTTGGGCATTGAATCATCGGAACTTATTTCGGCTGAGGCTTTTTTCAAGGTGGGAATTCCATTTCGAAAAAAAGAACAAAAGGAATTTCCTACGAATAGCATATTTGGTGCAATCATCAAGCTGAATTTGTTTTCTTTCTCTAGTTTCAATGTCTTTAGATACATTATCACATGTACCATCATTTTTTTAAGGTTTTAAGAATTCTGTGAACATTTCTCGTCGAGACCTTTTTCAAATCAGTATACAGATTAACTACGTCGTTATGCAACATATTTTCATTCCATTCACGGAGCCCACAATACACATTGTATATAAGAGTTTTTTCTCCTTCAGATAAATTCGGACGTCTGCGTTTGCTTTGACTGCTTTCACTTTTCATATTGCCCACAGTTCACAGCACTAAATTTAACTGATTTATAATGATATTTCCTTGTTTCAGTCCTTAAACAAATGCCTTGGTTTTTAACTGATATGATTTTTTTTTTATTTACTCCTAATCCTTTTCCTAGAAATGTAGGTACCTAATATTGAGACAAAAATATTATTTATCATATTATTGAAAAGGGTAATTCCAATTTTAGAGTTTTTATAACAGAAATTCAATAACTGTCATCAGTGTTGAAACACACCAAAATCTTTATAAGTAAATCATAATAACAGATCAAAGGAAAAAAAGTTAATATTTATTCTACATATTATTCAACAAATGTTACGCTCATGAATGTTAACCTAATTGCACTCAGCTGATAGGTTAATATGGAGTGCGGGGAAACGAACTGGAATTATTCAAATCCTATCTTATGGATAGGAAATCAAGAGTCAAGTGGCAAGACAATATCTCGGATTTTGTTGTAATGAAACATGGAGTTCCGCAGGGCTCTGTTTTAGGTCCTCTACTTTTTATAATCTATGTTAATGATATGATGTACACTTTTGTGTAACAACATGAATAAAGTATCTATCTATCTATCAATCTATATTTATATCTCAATCTTACGGCAAATTTATTCTGCCGTTCTTTTTCCGCCCCACAAACATCTCTGTGTACGAAACGTTGCCATTTATAAATGTTAGTCGTAGAATATAATTAAAATTTTCTATATTCACTTAATAAACTTTGATTCTGTTGAATACATTTCATTAGCAGGAAGTTTCTTTAATGAATAAAACACATTATTCGTTGTTCTATGACCATTTAGCTGCGTGTGTATGATTTAAATAGAAGAAAATATATAAAATCACAACCTGACAATGATGTTTTCGTTTTAATGCAATACTATTTCTGAGAGTTCAGTGCCTACTACTATGGAATTTCATTTTCCTTTCTATGAAAATTTTGTCCGACTGTGATATCTTGCTCCGTTCGAAAGTTAAGAGAGGGGAGGGATTCTATATGTCCGTACTGTATGTTTTTTCAAAGGATCAAGTGATCACTCTATATTTATTAAATGAAAATACCACCTACTAGAAATCCTGGTTAGGCCATTGGATAGTTCTTTATAGTACAAATATGGAAAGTCACACTCATTTAATGAATTTATTTCATATAATACTCATACAATGATACAATAATAAATATGAAGAACAAAAAATGTTTGGTAAAATGAATAATTTGATAATTTCCTAAATAGTCTACTCGTTTTTATTTTTTTGGTAATAGTAAGTAATACATATGTTTTATACATTCATAGCATAGCGTAGTGGATGCATATCATAGGAAGAAAACAACTATATGTTTATTGAATGAACAAGATCGAAAAATATAATCATGAAATGCTGAGAAATGCTTTCTCATATAGGAATGTTTATCCCATGTACTTTTTTGTATTCTTATTCTATTAGTGTGTATTTTTATATGAGGGCAAGTCATTATTTTAATTTTGAATTTAACTCATTTTATTCCTTATACGATCATAAAAATCAATAGTGTTATTATTATCATTATATGTAAGATAGGAAGTAGTTCGTTTTGTTCACATATTTACCTAATAAGATGTTTAATTATTCTCAAGATATTCATCTATAAAAACCCTTTTTTTTGCAAAGACACGGAATTCGTTGATATTTCATCTGAGTTTTTTGTCAAAAAGCTAACAGAAAAGTTTAATAATTTCAACTGCTACGAATTCCATCAATACTTGATGATTTTTTTGAGGACTTAATTGCTCAGGATATGATTTGAGCAAAATGATTTCATTCATAATTTCAACAGACAGCTTATTTGAAGACTGTAAACTGTCACATTAGAGATAAGTGTGTCGAAGCTAGTTTCCAGGTTTTTTTGTCCGTGGTCTGTAGATTCTTATGTCAACATTGTAGTTTCTGCGTTGCCTCTGATAATTTATTTATTTATTTATTATCCAAACAAGCTATTACAGTCTAGTCACATGGTTAAAAAAAAATAAAAGTTCATATAATCCTTGAAATACTTATGAATGTATAAAAATAGTAAAATATGTACTAGAACTGTAGAGGGAAATACTGGTTAAATAGGTGAATTTAACATATGTTCCAATTTTTTTTGCGGAATATCTACTGATTGGGAAAGTTTCCAGTCAAGATCTATTGATATATTTAAAAGATTAACTAACTTTAGTAAATATATTAGTGGTGCTTTCGTTGCGGTACTTACGGTTGGAATATTGAACATGAGCAAAAATTGCCTACTACCGCAGTAGTAGGCGAAACGTCAAGCATAAAAACCTTGCAGATCTCGCCGGAAAATAGCTTTGGCACAAACAGCCTATTTGCATAGAGAGGTATATTCACAAAAGTCCCAAGTCCGTTAACTTTTGTTGCAAAATGATTATTTGTCCTACTACAGCATGAAGAAATAAAGCTTGCTCAATTAAGGATAAAATTTTTTATCAACAATCCAATCTTCCAAGACATTTTACACAAATACTTATAGTTTACTTACTATATAGATACTCACCATATGGATTAAATTTTCAAATAGTGCCACCTAATCAAAAATTGGGCACACGCTTAACTAACTAATATGTTTCGTCAAAATAAAAAGTCAGTCAAGATTTCTATCAACAATGCCTCCATTTGCAAAACCCACGCGAATCAAATTCATTGAAAACAAAGTTGAACAAAAATAATAAATTATTCATCTGGCTAAAACTTATGTACGATCCGAAATCATAAATGAAATAAGAAGCGGTTGGAAACAATCACCAAATAAGTAACACCCTGTACATTACACTTAAAGTGCCAATAAACTTAAAGGAGTTGTCTGTGTCTCACATATATTATATAGTATTTGATATTGCACCATAAAAAATGAGGCCTTATCAGTAAAACTTCCAATATTTAGGTGAATCTTCAGATTGGTACATTTATGTTTATTACATTTTTAATCTATAGTAATAAGCTTTAAATTTTCTCTAAACACATTGAGATAGTTCCCAAAATTATGTGAGTAAAAGACTAGATTTCAACAAAGTTATTCATCTCTTTCTGTAATTCCTCATCAATTTATATCTATATCATTTATTCAACTTCTTATTCACAATCTAATAGTACCAGTAATAAATAAAAAAATATAAATAAAAACTTACAATAAAAAATGACTAGAATTCAAACTCGTTCAATCACGTATGGAATCCATTCGAGCATAATCCAAATAAAATTCATGAAGGAATTAATACAAAATCACAACCTTCAATGTTTTTTACGTCTCTCCAGAAGAAATTTAAATACTAGATGAAGTATATATCGCCATCAAATTTACGTAAACGATATTAAACAACATTGATATTTGGATCATCATAAGTTCTTTTCATCGAGCAGATCACATTTTTTTGAAATTACAAATACACATTGAAGCTACTAATAAACCAATACGGATTCCATACTGACCAAATCTCATTTCAAGTTGACCGTTATGCCCTTTGTGTCGGTCACGTTCTGTGGATTTCGTCTCGCAGATTTTGATCTTATTTGTCCGGCTAATAGGGGATTGATGGCGTACAACCAATCGTGCACCTCTTTCTCGTGTAACGTTTGTAACAGATAACCTTTATGCTTACTTACTACGCTAAAAGTATTGGGCGATCGGACCAAAGCCAGCTGGTCTTCCGAGTACTCTACTTGAGCGGTGGCCAGGTTGATGAGAGCTCGTTCGACGGGGTCCTTTTCATCTCGGAATATGAAGACATAAGGACGGCGGACAGCCTGTAGAGGAAGTTCTGGTAGAGTATATTTTGGAAGTAAAATCAAATCAAAATATGCTTCATTACTCAAGAATTTTAGGACCCGGGGACACCTACGGCCTGATGACTTTGACAATTGCAAAAATAGCCAAATGTTACACCCATGCTCAATCCCTAAAGAGATGGGATGAAATCAAAGGATGCGGTCTTGCCAGGATCACTCTGGGCGACCCTGGAAAGCTGGCACTGAAGAAATATCTGGCGATGACCAGAAAAAATCTACGCTTAACAGTAGGATTTCTGACTGGCCACTGTCAACTAAGGAAACACCTCCACAATATGAGGCTAGTGGACACACCTTTATGCAGGATGAGTGAACAGGAAGATGAGACTGTCAGGCATGTCCTATGCGAGTGCCCGGAGTTGTCGTCAATTAGAGAATGTGTGTTCGGCGAATCTTGGCCTACACCTGCCGATATAAAGGAGATGTCTCCCAGTCACCTGTCCACCTTCCTGGAAAGGACAGGATGGACGATGACCTAAGAGGACAACTCCTCGGGAGGATGTACAATGGGTCACAAGTGGTCTAAGTGCTGTGGGCCTACACTCACCCTCCCTACTCTACAGATACAGAACAAAATGTATGAGTCCCAGGACGGATCCTTGGGGTATCTCATGAGCTATGGTGGCTTCATCTGATAATGTGCTACCTATGCACAGTTCCTTTTTTCTTGACGAAAGGTAGGATTTAGGATTCCGGAATTCAAGTTTTTTTTTATGAGGATATAACGATTTACAGAACAATCAATAAAGAGCAATGAACCAGTAATTTATTTTTGACACATGTGTCACAACTTTTGTAAGAGGAATAAAAAAAACACTTTGACTACAATCACCATTTTCTAAAAAAAATATAGTAGAAATACTCACCACCCATCTTTTCTTCCAACCATGTGTTTTATGTTCCAAAACATTAAGATACCCCTTTCTTGCTACCACGGGCGAAATCCTTATCTCTTCCATATCTGGCACGTACAGAACAAGTTCAGGATTTCGTGGACCAGGAGGAGATACAGGAACGGGCGGGAAAGGGGCACATTCTCCGGATATTACCACTCTCTCCGGAGAGCACAGCTCGATGGAATTATTCGATATGATACTCGACATCATACTGGTACTCATATCTGTCACTTCTTCAGAAGGACTCGATACTTCATCTTTCTTATTATTGTTCGAATTGTCTCTGTGTCTGCCTTGTATTAGACGGATACATTTTTGGATGAGTTCTTTTTCTTGATCTGTATACTCATAGGAATCGATATTTGCTAAAAACAAAAGAAGTTGGAAAGTTGCTTGGAATGCTCCAGAAATTGCATTTTTTTTCTTTAAAATATCAAAAATTTGCCCAATTTTCAAAGCTGGTACCATAAACAATATCAAAAACTACCGACCTATAACCTTGTTATCCAACTTTGCAAAGGCTTTTGAGATGTGCTTGTACAACAGAATCTTCCCTGATGTTAAGAATTCAATTTCAAACATTCAACACAGTTTCTTTAGCAAAAGATCAACTATAACTAACTTAATGTGCTTCGCACAATCAGTAAGAAATGCACTTAATAATAACCTACAAGTAAATACTGTCTACACAGATTTTTCGAAGGCGTTTGACAAATTGGATCATAACATTCTTATCAATAAAATTCACTTCCAGAGACAGTTTTTTAACTCTCTTCAATGCATACCTCAAATCTCGGCTGGAATATGCCTCCCTTATATGGTCACCCATATAGAATGTCCACATAAACAAAATCGAGTCTATACAAAGAGGCTTCATGAAATATATTACTTACAAGCTAGAAGGAGTTTACCCTGAACAAGGCATCGCCAACAGAATACTACTGAATAAATTTAATTGAATTGTGACAGAGTTGAATAGTTTAAATGAAAATGATATCCTCAACTCAACATTTTTAAAATAGTGAAGTTTTCATGTATGTCATTGTAAATTTCATAAATACATCTGTTGAGTACGGAACATTCTCTCAAATTTTATTGTATTTTAATGATATCCTGACCAGTTACTTGATGAAAATGTGTAACACTATCTATGATCCAAAACAAGCACTGTTTTCAAATACCAGAACTGCAACATCCTTCTCAACACCAAACAAGTTGGTGCCTTCAGTAGATGAAGTAGACTAATTCCTAACTCTAATCCTGACCTATGTTTATATCTAACAAGGAACACTTCAATTTGACATACCTCGACAGGAGTTTCGATCACCAAGTGATCATCTTCAAGAGGAATATTTAACTACCGCAAAAACGTGGTGAGCAAAACTAGATAGTATTTCAAAGATTTGACAAAAGTAACAAGCAACGGTTACTTCACATAAATTTTCATACACACCTGTTTGCATTCAAAAGTATAATTTTTTGTTGTAACAAATTTGAGTTATTTAATT